ATGAGAGAGGATAGGGAGGGTGAGGATTAGGCTATGAAAGGTCTTGAAAGTGAAGACAAGCAACTTACGTTTGCTGCAGCGGAGGGGAGCCAGTGGAGATTTATAGAGGAAGACCAAGAGTTACGTTCATGCTAGCAACACTATAGTTATGGTTCTATTATAAACACTAATTATCTGTTTCTTATAAGTTGACTTGAAATCATTAGGAAGGAATTGATTGAAAACGTGAGCCTAATACAGAATTCAGAAAGCAGGGATAGCAAATTATTTGATCTTAGCATAGTACAGAACTGGGTTCACAGAACAGAGCAGTAGAGGGGGAAATGGATTCAGGAAAGCAAATGCTATAGAACTAAGAATTCTAGTAAATCTGATGCAACAGGAGGAAATATTCAAATTCAAGAGGATGCAAGAAAACCTAAAAATTCTTTCATGCTGTAATAAAAGACCAATAGACTATGACTCCTCTCCAAAAACAAAAAAGCCACTCACCCACAACCTGAGACAAGATGTTATCAATATGACATCATGAGGATCGCTGAGATTCAGAAGGGTAAAAAATAAATTTATATTGGTAATGAAGAAATTGGTGGTGCATAGGAAGAAATCAGACAAGAACATGCAGTCAGTTAAGCCATTCTGGAAGTTAGCCTGAATCCCCTCATAAATAATGGATCCCTATGTAAAGAAACTGTCATACTGTATCTCAAGATCCTCCAATGTTTGTAGATTGACTGTTCCTTCAGTTGGGACTACCAAGGTCTTTGGAGCAAAGACAGAGTTCTGGATATTATCCTCATCTTGTTAGTACATCTTTTCCTGACTTAATTAAACCAAGAGTAGAAAAGGTGGAAAAGCACACAACTTTTGACTCATGCATGGGTCTTGATCTCACATGTACAGGTGTAAATCTGGAATAACACCAATTTCCTCAACTTGAGGAAATTGGTGTTATTCCAGATTTATATCAATATGGCTGGCATCAGACTCTAGCCCTAAAACCACAATGGACAATGAATTTACTACAGTTTCATAATAGTGTAGCTGAGCTGAATTGGAGAGGATTCAGAGAAGAGCCATGAAAATGACGACTGGATTGGAAGACATGCATGATAGGGAAAGAATCCAGGGGCACAATCTGTTTAGTTTATCAATGAGAAGGCTAAAGAGTGACTTGACCCTGGTCTCTATGTGCCTATATAGTGAACAGAAATTTGATGGCAAAGGGCTCTTTCATTTGACAAAGTTATAACAAGATCTGATAATGGAAGTTTAAGCCGGATAAATTCAGACTGGAAATGAAGGTGCATATTTTTAAGAGTGACAGTAATTAACCATTGGAATAATTTACAAAGGACTGTGGTGGTTACTCCACCAAGGGAGATCAAGATTGGACTTTTTTTTTCTATTTTAAGAGAGGAGACTAACAGGGTGTGGCTTGTTTAGCCCATCAGAACAAAGATGCAGAGACAAATGATTGTTCTGTATAAATACATCAGAGGAGGACACACCAGGGAGGGTAAAAAGCTATTTAAGCTAAAGGACTGTGTTGTCACAAGAACAAATGGGTCTAAACTGGCCATGGATAAATTTAGGCTGGGAATTAGATTCAAGTTTTTAAACATCAAAGTGTAGTTAAAGAAGAGCCTGTAATAGGAGTTGTGGGGGCAAACAACTCAGTACATTTTAAGAGACAGGTGGACAAATTTCTGAGTGGGATTGCATGATGGGGCTGCTTGTGGAGGTAGGGATTAGCAACCCCGGGGGTTCCTTCCAGTTCTCGTTTTGGGTTCCCAAAATGTCATGCTTCAGGGCCTCACCTGGGGTCAGGAAAGGATTCTTCCCCTCACCTCTCCAATGTATTCTGTGGGGGAGGTTTGGTTTGGTTTTGTCTCCTTCATCTGAAGCATCAGAGATGGCCATGGCTGGAGATGGGACACTGGATGGGGTAGGCCGGTGCTTTGAGGTTGCACTGAGCATTCTCTCTCTCAGGTGCTTGGCTGGCTGGTTCTTGCTCACAAGTTCAGTGTCTAATTGATGATCAGATGTGCGTTTGACTAGGAATTGCCACCCACCCCATTTGTGCAGGTGCCTTGGGGTTTTTCTGCCTTCCTCTACATCATGAGACCTGGGTGACTTGCTGGAGTCATCTGAGTATATCTCATTTAATCAGCTCCCTGCCATTACAGGGACTTTATGGCATCAGTGCAACTTGGTCCCTCCTATTCTCTGCCTATGGCACTCAATAATTTAGCCTCTAGAGAGCTGTAATTGTTTGGTCTCATTTTGATTGTTGGGTTTAGTGTGGGATGCTGGTTGGTGCTGGTGGGGTGTGATATACAGGGGGTCAGACTGGATGATCTGGTGGTCTCTTCTGGCCTTCAACTTTATTACTCTACTGTATGGCTCTAAAAATATGGTCTTGTTCAACCAGTACTATTTGCTTTGACTCAGGAATGTCCTATAGCCTGTGTTACTCAGGAGGTCAGGCTAGATGATCACAATGGTCACTTCTGGCCTTAAAAATCTATGAATCTCTGAAAACCTGAAGTCAGCCCTTATTGTTCATAACAAGGAACTAGCTTGTGTTGGTTACACTTGATTTCCCATATAACTATTGATAATTAATCTTTGTTAATCAATAACTTGTCAATAATAACCAATTAACTGATAACCAATAAATGAGAAATTAAACTGTGATTATATGTTTAGTGAGAAGGTTCTCTCATGTCCTGATTTAGTTCAATAATAAAAAAATCAGATAAATCTGCTTTGACTGGGTTTGTTGATTAGCAGATCATAGAGAAACACATACACAGAGGCATGCAGTTACCAACAGCTGTTGAAGATTTTACCCTGTCATTCTCTGACACCCTGCATCCAGACTGCTGATGGTCTTACTTCGTCTATGATTTAGGGGCAATTATACCCTTGTTAGCCTTTTAGTGTGTCATTATGGTCCTTATTTATTGCCTCTTTTGGGCTCACACTTCTTATTTTAGGCTATTCCCAAGGTGCCCTGTTCCATTGCAAATTTCCAACTGGCTCAACATCTGTTGGCTAGTCATTATTTATGTTTTTTAAGACATAGTTATTTGTTTCATATCTTGCGGTTAGTACCTTGCTAAGATACCTCCTAGAACAGTTTTCAAAATGTGGTAAAGATTAGTGCTTGGTAAAATTCTACTTTCTGAAGTTACCTTCATCTTAACTACAAAGCATCATGGGAGTCTTGCTCCTATAAAAAAAAGGAAGAGTTTCTCAGCTCATCTAGTAAAAGTAGCATATCTGTTACCAAGCACAAGTTTCCCTTATGCTTCTATGCAAGTAATACACCAGCTAAACTAGTCATGCCATCTTACCACTCTACCCAATAGCACCAGTGTCCTGGCTCTCTAGGAAATAATGGAAGGCTGTAGATTGTATCAGCAGAGACAAGCTATGGAAAAGAACAACTATGATCACCACTGACTTGGATATGAATGTGTTCACCAGTCAGCACCTGTGCAAAGTGAGAGTAAACCATTACTAATTCTGATCTGGTAGTATTTCACTGTCACTTTATTAGGGTCTAATTCACTACACAAGGTGCAAGGCAACGTACTTTGGCTAGTAGTGATTGGACGTCAAGTCTACTGCACTTGTGCAAGACTGTCAGCTTTAGAATGCTTCTTGCTGTCTTGTAGTTCAATTATCTGGTAGTTAACAACTATGAGCCTCTCCTTTCCCTTAGGTATTACATTGTTATACAATACATATAAACAATGCCATTTTAAACTGTTTGGAGATCAGTCACCTGCATCACTATTAAAACACTGATTATTGTTTCTTTGGCAGACTATATCTTTTTTCTATTTCAAAGGCATATCCCCCCCCTTTTTTAATTATTCTGAATCTTTATCACATACTGGTCTACCGCTGGTGGGAAATTTTAAAACAAAATGTTTTTGTCATGGGAAAATGACAATTTGTTATAACCGAAGCTTTTAATGTGAAATGGTCTGTTCTGACAAAATTTATGCCAGGGAGTTTTCAGCTGCATATATAGCCTGGTGATTAAGGCACTCACTTGGCATGTGGGAGACCCAAATTCAAGTCCCTGCTTTGCCTGATTCAAACCAGGGACTCTAATGTCCAAACCACCAGCCTATGGCATTAGTCTCTCTTTGATCCCCTGAGTATTATTATTTATACAAAGTGGAACAGTTCCTACTGGCAATTTTGAGAGCAACCCACTACAAAATAGCCCACTTGGTTAGGATAATCATATGGGATATAGAAGATGCAAGTTCAAGTCAACGCTATGCCTGCTTCAGGCCAGGGACTTGAACCCAGATCTCCCACATCCCTGTTACTTGTTCTGACCAAGTGAGCTTTTGGCTATTCAAGGATGAGTCACTTTCCCTCTCGCCCTCTGGTTTTTCATGAAAATTTTTGAACCGTCTCAGTTTTATCCCAGTGAGGAATGGAACATTCTTCAAAACTCATAAATATTCACAGGATGGGAAAACCGTTACCCACCCTGCTCTATAGTGGGACAGATTCTCATTTACACTAAGGCCCTTTTACTCCAGTCTGAATTTTATACTTCCACATTGATGAGGAGAGGTCCTGGTGTAAAGAGGATTCTGCCCCATTATCTTTCCAATACCAAGACAATGGCCCATGCTCTCTCCTTCAGTTAAACCACCTCAGTTATGCCCAGTTACTCCATTGACTAGCTAAATTAATTGGTACAGGTGTAGATGAATATCAGATCCACTAACCTTAGAGATTACAGAGAGTTGACACATCTAGTTAAGAGCCTTTGTGGCATGAGTTTATACCGTTCACTCTAATTTGTAAGTAAATTTCACAATGTACAACTGTAAAGCAAAGATTTCCAGGCACTTTAAGTACGCAATAGGAGGAAGTAAAAATCAAATACAAACAACGTCTTTTTGCAAGAATGTATGAGAAACCCAGTGTTCTATCCAGTTCAATTAGGTTTTTATAATGCCCTCTGTGATGTTGACTCACCTTACCACAGCAAGAAACAGGTGAGCTATATATCATGCTCCAGTGAAGAAATCCATTCACTTCCACCAACTCTTGAAAGGTGCAGAAGACATTTCCTGTCTTCCCAGAAAGGAAAGGTAAGATTTACATTCCTTTATTTAACATATAGGGAATTTATTCTCAGGTTTTAAAACATAATTTGCTACAAAGAAGGCTGTTGGAAACATTCGGGCACTCAGAGCAATATAATGCCTTGATTTTTTTCAATGAAATGGGGAAGACTAAAAAATAGTCAAAGGTTTAGCAAAAATAAGAAGAGAAAATATGGAAAGAATCAAGAAAAAATGAGAAGTACCCTTTACACTATGTGACTAGGCAACAAAGCAGCAGCTAAGCAGGGGTATTAAATAATAAAACTGGTCCGGTTTCATTTGAAAACAGATGCATTTTTGCTTGAAAAACTTGTTCACAGCCACAAATTTACCAAAAAATCCTCCCATTGTCTAGTTCATAATGAAACGCAGGAAAAATTAATGTTATTAAGAATATTTCTTTAATCTCAAATACTGGGGCAGTCATGCATAATATTACATTTGGAAATAGTAAGGTAAAGTTATAAGATAACAAATGCGTGATAACGATACTTTAGAGTCAAACAAACACAGCACCATAAACATGTATTAGCAGGAAAGAAAATGCATGTTTATTACCCCTAAAGATCAGCATTAATCTGTTTAGTGTTAATATATTTTAGAGATTAGGAGCAGATCCTTAGCTAGTGAAAATGAACATAGTTGCATTGCCCACTGAGGAACTGTCAATGCATAATGAATGCAGATGCCACAGACAGATACAATTATGAGATATTTTGCATGTACATATCAGTATCTGGGGAGCTGAGATTAGAACCTTAGTTGCAAAAAGCACAGGACTAGACCAGTTCAGCTAAAGCAGAAACTCTTTTAATGGTAGCAGTAGGAGGGCCCTTATCCTCTGTGTGCGTGAGCTGCTACAGGACAATGTCACAAGGCCATTATACTACTCGATTGCCAATACCTCTCACTAGATACCTAAACCAAGAGGAGTGCAGGCAGACATTAAGACTGTGTAAGACAAAATGGACCAGTTCCCTAGCTGATACAAATGGGTGTAGCTTCACTGAAGCTGATAGAGATACACCCATTTGCACCACCTGAGGATAGGACCCATTGCTTACTGTGTCATACAAGCAATATGATGAGCAGTGGAGCTGGCTATACAGGGAGAAAAATGCAACCTGCTTTTCCCCCTCGCTCTCAGTCAACATGCTCTCTTTGCAAGTAGCTTTACAGACCCACTTCTGAGGCACATGGAAATGTCAGCTAACCCCATGGTCATTTTACCAAGAATACATTAAACTAAAACCAACAACCTCCTGCTAAACCAAGCACAAAATTAAGCTAATAACAAATCTACCTGGCATCATGCCCTTAAATGTACTAAGGCTGGGGCTTGGGCAATGGGCCAATGGAAGTGAATTGCAGCCCAGCCACTAGCCCAAGCCAGTTAAACCACAGGTACTTTGAGCAAAGCCTCCAAGCTGATCCTAATGACAATGATAGGGAACAAAGATCACCAGAGATAAATGGGTCCTGGGCCTTACAGGGATTTGAGCGCTTTTTAAATTGCACCCAGAATGAAACAGAAATGCAGTGTAAGGATTCAAGCACACCTCTCACATGCTAAGAGTTCTGTCCAGTGCAAGAAATGGGCAGCTGCATTCTGCACTGGATAGGGCTATCGGGTGGACCACTAAGGCAGGCCTGCATCTCACCAGCTCATCACTATTCCAGGGCTGATCATTAACCACCTACTCATTGAACATGAATTCAGCAGACATCTGAGTGCTTATTCCTCTCAGTTATTCAGCTAGATTATGACTAACACTATGCATTCACACTGAGGAGAAGGAATCCTCCCTCAGCATTCTCATGCGAGCTACTCAAAGGTTGGGTAGGTGTAGGGGGAGTTACTTACCCACTTACTCCTTCCCCAGAGCAGGTGGAAGGGGAATGGACAGAAATTTAGCTCCTGCCCTTACCCACTGGCCAGAGTCATGAGGAAAGCAGTGCGAGCTGGGAGTAGAAGTTGACATTGGTGCTACAGACCAGCAGCAAATTACTATTCTGAGGAGCAAGGAGACAGCAAGGGAGGAATTGAGGCAGAGAAGGATGTCTCCTAAGGATACTTCTGGGAGCACATGCACCACCCCTTGCTCAGGGTTGTATCTAATGTCACCATCTAGCCCTAAATCTTACCTTTCTTCCATGCAGATGGCCACCTCCCTGCTTTTAATTATAAACTAGGGGCACTGGTGTGAACTAAACCTAAGGGGCTGAATTCAAACTGGGTTTGCACTGGCTTGTGCTGCTGTAACCTCAGGTGCGTGGAATAGAAAGTCTGTTGGGGAGACCTCTATGATACCACATCTTCAGCATCCCCTCCACAATGGGATGGACAGTATGGGCAAGTGCAACCCAGTAAGTAGCTAGGAGTATTGCAAAGGTGGGTAGTGCGCATGCTAATTCAGTGCATCCCCTCAGCAGTCTCCACAGGGAAGGTTCCTATGGAGCTCTGGCTAGAAACTAAACCTGTCGCCACATAATGAAGGCCCCAAGACAGGGTGGCAGCAGTAGTAATATCTCCCCTTCCTCCATGCAGAGAAATTAGTACCTCCCTCTACTACACTTAACTTAGGCCATTGTGTTTGACCACAGTCTAAAAGAAAACCCACTAGTAGAGGAGCATGTACTGTGAGGAAAACATGGAAAGCTGGTTGGCTCACAGTGCTGATAGAAGTAACAGAGAGAGAAAGAAAGGAGGATTTTTCTCTCTAGTATAAAGACCTGGTGACAAAACCAGTACCTTTCTGATTGAGAAAAACCCTAGATATGTACAGCACATGGGAGCACACTTCTGCTGGAATGTATTATTTAAATAAACAGAAGCTATAGACAGGAAAGAGAACTAAGCAGGTTGTTCTTCCCTTTTCAGAGATGATTCTGCTGGCTGCATTCCTGGGCCTGGCTGCTGTGCTGCAGCCGTCCAGCGGACAGGTAGGACGAGAGCTGGGTGGGAAACGTTTTTCCAACCCCATGAATATCCTGAGATTTCTGAAATTTCTTGTCCTGAAACAGGACGAAAAGTAAAAATTTCAACTATTTTTGCAAACTGAAAGAGAAAAACACATTTGGTTCAAGTCATTCAAAACATTCCACTTCAGTCATTTCAAAGCACTTCACGTTGATTTTGACTATTTTTGGGGGTGGGGGTGAAATTTTAAACCCTGTTAAGTCCCTAAAGCAACACAAGCATTTAACGTGATTTAAGTCCTTAAAATGGCTCAAGTGTTCAAGGCAAACTAAAGGCCAGATCCTCCAAATACTTTCATGATTAACTTTACTCATATAAGTAACATTAAGAAACAATTAAGAAACAATCCTAGGATTAGGACCTAAGACCTTTGGCTGAGTGAGGCTGAATGAAAAGTGAAATGACACATACGTGCAGTAATACTGACTGAGCTTAGATGTTCATAATTGGGAAAACTGAGGGTTATAATGAAAACTGTTTTGTAACCTTAGGTATGACATTCACGATCATGAAGAAATACTATAGTACACTAAAAGAAAAGGAGGACTTGTGGCACCTTACAGACTAACAAATTTATTTGAGCATAAGCTTTCGTGAGCTACAGCTCACTTCACTGGATACACTAAAGAACTCAAATTGTTCATGGTATTTTCACAGATGTGAAAGAAGAATTTCAAAATGTCAAAAGCTTCGGCAAAAATTTCCAAACAGATGCTTAATAGTCACATACTCCATATAAGAATCTCTTTGCTATATGTCCGTGCAGTTCTTAGCACAATGGGATCCTCATCAATGACTAGGGTTCCTAGGAGTAACCACAATGTAAATAAATAAATAATTCTATGTAGTTGTTCCTGTCTTTACCAGCACTAAATATGGCCAAATATACAGTATTTAGAAGAATCTGTCAATCTAAAAAAATCCTAAGATTAGATACTAATATTAGTTTCTCAGTTCTAAATTGTGCTCACCAGGAGCACATATGAAGTAGGGTGCTAGGTAACACAGAATACAGATAGCAGAATCTGACCCATAATTTATTAATTAATTGTTGATTCATTCTGATTAAATTATTCTTAAAATATTTCATGAACTGATGATGTTTATAAAGACACATTACTTGGAATTGATTCCTAGCTTCACTTATAAAATATTTTTTCACTCACACAACCTATATACCAAAAAACCATTGTACTTTTTTTTTTATTTAGACATCAGGTTTTGCTTCTCTGTCAACTGACAAAGCAGATCAACAAAAGGAGATTGTTGACAAGCACAATGCCCTAAGGAGAGGGGTGATGCCAACTGCTCGCAACATGCTGAGGATGGTAAGATGCATTTTGCAAACTAATCTGTAATGTATACTAATGTTACTAGGTTTCAGAGTAGCAGCCATGTTAGTCTGTATCTGCAAAAAGAAAGGAGGACTTGTGGCACCTTAGAGACTAACAAATTTCTTTGAGCATAAGCTTTCGTGAGCTACAGCTCACTTCATCGGATGCATGAAGTTACTAGAGAATATGCAAGGGCAGAGCATTTCAGCCGGCAGAAAACATGCCATTTGAATCTTTTCCCCAATAAGATGTTAGAGAACATGAGTTATCAAGGGAAGGGAGCACCTTGCGGGTGACAAATCTTGCTGCTCATGAACAACATCTCCTTTTCAAGTGAATGGAAAACCCATTAGCTCTGGTCTCCCACGTGCCTTGTGGTATGTTCTCTCTAGCTAGTCACCATGATATCTAGCCACCTAAGGTGTGTAGCTACAGAGCCCCTTCTCCTTTTACTGCCCAAATGAAAGAGAAGGAGTTGTCAAGATTTTAAACACTTTGAAAATGCAATATCCAAGTGTATGTTCTCTTCTACATTCTGCATTACTAAGAGGTGCACATCTGAACACGTAATGTTTCTCGTTTCATTAAGGAATGGAGTCCTGCAGCTGCAGAGAATGCCAAAAGTTGGGCAAATGAATGTACTTTATCCCACAGTCCTGAAAACAGAAGGACAACTAGTAAGTAAAGTGTCAGTTTGAAATGAATAATGCATAATTCAAGCAATTTTCAGATAATATAACCCCATTCATATTTAAGTGGTATTAATATTTTGCTGAATGAATAACATTTATAACAGCGGAGTGTATGGATCCATCTATTCTGCTGTGTGATATTTAGAGTTAAGCAATATTTTTTTAATATAGACTAAATTTCAACATTAAAGAAATAATGAAAAATTTCCAAGAAATTTCACAATTTTTAATTTTGGGGAAAAAAGGGAAAAATTTTCAAATGTTTTTGTTGAGATTTATTTCCTTCCAATCCCCCTCCTCTGACTCCTTATCCCTAAACAGCTCTAACAATTTGAAGAGTATTTTGTATGAAGGTAAAACACTTTTAATAGAGGTCACAGAGTGATGAACAATGCAGTTGTTACTTTGAGATTATTCAAGACTCGACCCAAAACAAAACAATGGACATGAACACTCCTGACACATGAGAAAGTTTGAATCCAGATCCAAATTTAAGCTTTGATTCTGATCTATGCTGTACCAGTTTTACACTGGTGTAATGCCACTGACTTCCATGGAGTTACTCCTAATTTAAGAATCATTGCAAGAAAACCTATTTTCTCAATATTTTCATAACAAACACCAGGGTGGATTAAGAACATAAGCATAGCCATATTGGTTCAGACCAAAAGTCCAACAGCACAGTACCCTGTCTTGCGACAGTGGCCAATGCCAGGTGCCTCAGGGGGAATGAACAGAACAGGTAATCATCCAGTGATCCATTCCCTGCTGCCCACTCCCAGCTTCTGGCAAACAGAGGCTAGGGACACCATCCCTGCCCATGCTGGGTAATAGCCATTGATGGACCTATCCTCCATGAATTTATCTAGTTCTTTTTTGAACCCTGTTGTAGTCTTGGCCTTTACAACATCCTCTGGCAAAGAATTCCACAGGTTGTCTGTGGATTGTATGAAGAAATACTTCCTTTTGTTTGTTTTAATCCTGCTGCCTATTAATTTCTTTTGGTGACCCATAGTTCTTGTGTGATGAGGAGGAGTAAATAACACTTCCTTATTTATTTTCTGCACACCAGTCATGATTTTATAGACCTCAATCATAACCCCCTCCGTCTCTTTCACAAGCTGAATAGCCCCTGTCTTATTTATCTCTCCTCTCATACAGAAGCTGTTCCATACCCCTAATCATTTTTGTTGCCCTTTTCTGAATCTTTTCCAATTCCAATATATCTTTTTTGAGATGGGGCCACCACATCTGTACGCAGTATTCAAGATGTGGGCATACCATGGATTTATATAGAGGCAATATGATATTTTCTGTCTTATTCTCTATCCCTTTCTTAATGGTTCCCAACATTCTGTTAGCTTTTTTGATTGCCGCTTCATATTGAGTGGATGTTTTTAGAGAACTATCCACGACTCCAAGATCTCTTTCTTAAGTGGAAACAGCTCATTTAGACCCCATCACTTTATCTGTATTGTTGGAATTTTGTTTTCCATTGTGCATTACTTTGCATTTATCAACAGTGAATTTCATCTGCCATTTTGTTGCCCCGTCACCCAGTTTTGTGAGATCCTTTTCTAGCTCTTCGCAGTCTGCCTGGGACTTAATTATCTTGAGTAGTTTTGTATCATCTGCAAATTTTGGCACCTCACTGTTTACCCCTTTTTCCAGATCATTTATAAATATATTGAATAGGATTGGTCCCCGTGCAGACCCCTGTGGGACACAACTATTTACCTCTCTCCATTTTGAAATCTGATAATTTATTCCTACCCTTTGTTGCCTATCTTTTAACCAGTTACCAATTCATGAGAACACCTTCCCTCTTATCCCATGACAGCTTACTTTGCTTAAGAGCCTTTGGTGAGGGACCTTGTCAAAGTCTTTCTCAAAATCTAAGAACACTGTATCCACTGGATCCCCCTTGTCCACATGCTTGTTGACCCCCTCAAAGAATTCTAGTAGATTGGTGAGGCATGATTTCCCTTTATAAAAACCATGTTGACTCTTCCCCAACAAATTATGTTCATCTATGTGTCTGACAATTTTGTTCTTTACTATAGTTTCAACCAGTATGCCTGGTACTGAAGTCAGGCTTACTGTCCTATAATTCCCAGGATCACCTCTGGAGCCCTTTTTAAAAATTAGCATCACAATTAGCTATGCTCCAGTCATTCAGTACAGAAGCTGATTTAAATGATAGGTTATAGATAGGTTGAATGATAGGTTATAGATGACAGTTAGTAGTTCTGCAATCTCACATTTGAGTTTCTTCATAACTTTTGGTGAATAGGATCTGGTCCTGGTGACTTATTACTGTTTATCAATTTGTTCCAAAATCTCCTCCAATGACACCTCAATTTGGAACAGTTCCTCAGATTTGTCACCTAAAGAGAATGGCTCAGGTTTGGGAATCTCCCTCACATCCTCAGCCTGATGCAAAGAATTCATTTAGTTTCTCCACAGTAGCCTTATCGTCCTTGAGTGCTCCTTTAGCATCTCGATTGTCCAGTGGCTCCACCAGTTGTTTAGCAGGGAAAAAATTTTGCTATAAATTTTTGAGACTTTGACTAGTTGTTCTTCAAATTCTTTTTTGGCCTTCCTAATTATATTTTTACACTTCATTTGCCAGAGTTTATGCGCCTTTCTATTTTCCTCACAAGGATTTAACTTCCACTTTTTAAAGGATGCCTTTTTGTCTCTCACTGCTTCTTTTACTGGGTTGTTTAGCCATTGTTTCACTTTTTTGGTTCGCTTACTATGGTTTTTAATTTGGGGTATACATTTAAGTTGAGCCTCTATTGTGGTGTCTTTAAAAAGTTTCCATTCAGCTTGTAGATCCTTAACAGTAGCTCCTTGAAATATAGACATAGTTTATGGAGGAAACCAGAAGGCTGGTCCAGTATGAGACTATTCGGGATCTGAATCTTTGAATGCTTATGAGAATCAAAGTTAACCTTTGAACCATTGGGATTTACCCAACACCATTCACTCATGACCTGGAGAGTGACAAAGGGCAACACTGTAGTGTGTGGATGTTCAGGAAATGAAACAAATTCTTCCCACCAGACTTTCCTAGAAATTTCTGAATCTTCTACTGGTTCTATCCACATGATGAAGCACTTGTATCTTCTTAAGCCTCTTTCATCAGCTTTTGTGAACGGTTTCCTTTCCATTTTCAGCAGTGGGCTGTGGCGAAAATCTCTACATGTCAACTGCACCCAATTCCTGGTCAGATGCAATTCAAGCCTGGTACAATGAGGTGGAAAATTTCATGTACGGCATTGGACCAACCAAACCAGGTGCAGTGATTGGCCATTATACTCAGGTAGGGACCATAGCATCACTTGTTACATTCATGTTTTAACTGATACATGTTTGACTAAATGATTATCATGGGTAGGAGAAATAACAGCTTCAATATATTTAAAGAAAATAAACACCATAAAGGATAAGAATTATTCCAACAGAGAAAAATTTAAAAAAAATAAGAATATGGAAATTGTAGACTAAATATTATGACCAACTTCCTCACAGTGAGGTCTATTAGACCAAGGGATATGGTGGAAACCCTATGGTTTGGATATTTTAAAACTAGGCTAGAGCAAGCTCCTTAAGTTGTAGGGAACAATACCACATTGGCAGAGGGATAGACTCAATAACCTAGTAGATTTTTTTCTTGTGGGTGTAATGTTGTTCTTGCTGTACTGATGGCAAATTAGGTTATAAGTTATTATCTTCCCTTAGCGTTCCTTCAGTAACTTCTTCAGACACATACACATTCACAAATTATAAACTAATCAAGCTAATTCTCTTACAGGTTAGGAAGGAAGAATGTGTGAGAGAATTTATTTGTATTTTTTGAATATTTTGGAGGCCCTAAGTTATTACTGGAATGGGGGCGAACCTAGAGAGATAAACATCTCTAGATAAAAAGAAAAGGAGTACTTGTGGCACCTTAGAGACTAACAAATTTATTTGAGCATAAGCTTTCGTGAGCTATAGCTCACTTCATCGGATGCATTCAGTGGAAAATACAGTGGGAAGATGTATATACATAGAGAACATGAAACAATGGGTGTTACCATACACACTGTAACGAGAGTGATCACTTAAGGTAAGCTATTACCAGCAGGAGAGCGGGGGGGCGGAAACCTTTTGCAGTGATAATCAAGGTGGGCCATTTCCAGCAGTTAACAAGAACGTCTGAAGAACAGTGGGAGGGGGCGAATAAACAAGGGGAAATAGTTTTACTTTGTGTAATGACTCAACCACTCCCAGTCTCTATTCAAGCCTAAGTTAATTGTATCCAATTTGCAAATTAATTCCAATTCAGCAGTCTCTCCGTGGAGTCTGTTTTTTAAGTCTTTTTGTTGAAGAATTGCCACTTTTAGTCCAGAAATCGAGTGACCAGAGAGATTGAAGTGTTCTCCGACTGGTTTTGAATGTTATAATTCTTGACGGCTGATTTGTGTCCATTTATTCTTTTACGTAGAGACTGTCCAGTTTGACCAATGTACATGGCAGAGGGGCATTGCTGGCACATGATGGCATATATCACATTGGTAGATGTTCAGGTGAACGAGCCTCTGATAGTGTGGCTGATGTGATTAGGCCATATGATTGTGTCCCCTGAATAGATATGTGGACACAGTTGGCAATGGGCTTTGTTGCAAGGATAGGTTCCTGGGTTAGTGGTTCTGTTGTGTGGTGTGTGGTTGCTGGTATTTGCTTCAGGTTGGGGGGCTGTCTGTAAGCAAGGACTGGCCTGTCTCCCAAGATCTGTGAGAGTGATGGGTCGTCCTTCAGGATAGGTTGTAGATCCTTGATGATGCGTTGGAGAGGTTTTAGTTGGGCTCTGAAGGTGATGGCTAGAGACGTTCTGTTATTTTCTTTGTTGGGCCTGTCCTGTAGTAGGTGACTTCTGGGTACTCTTCTGGCTCTGTCAATCTGTTTCTTCACTTCAGCAGGTGGGTACTGTAGTTGTAAGAACATTTGATAGAGATCTTGCTGGTGTTTGTCTCTGTCTCAGGGGTTGGAGAAAATGCGGCTGTATCGTAGAGCTTGGCTGTAGACAATGGATCGTGTGGTGTGGTCTGGATGAAAGCTGGAGGCATGTAGGTAGGAATAGCAGTCAGTAGGTTTCCAGTATAGGATGGTGTTTATGTGACCATCGCTTATTAGCACCATAGCGTCCAGGAAGTGGATCTCTTGTGTGGACTGGTCCAGGCTGAGGTTGATGGTGGGATGGAAATTGTTGAAATCATGGTGGAATTCCTCAAGGGCTTCTGTTCCATGGGTCCAGATGATGAAGATGTCATCAATGTAGCGCAAGTAGAGTAGGGGCGTTAGGGGACGAGAGCTGAGGAAGCGTTGTTCTAAGTCTGCCATAAAAATGTTGGCATACTGTGGGGCCATGCGGGTACCCATAGCAGTGCCGCTGATTTGAAGGTATACATTGTCCCCAAATGTGAAATAGTTATGGGTGAGGACAAAGTCACAAAGTTCAGCCACCAGGTTTGCCGTGACTTTATCGGGGATACTGTTCCTGATGGCTTGTAGTCCATCTTTGTGTGGAATGTTGGTTTAGAGGGCTTCTATATCCATAGTGGCCAGGATGGTGCTTTCAGGAAGATCACCAATGGATTGCAGTTTCCTCAGGAAGTCATTGGTGTCTCGAAGATAGCTGGGAGTGCTGGCAGCGTAGAGCCTGAGGAGGGAGTCTACATAGCCAGACAATCCTGCTGTCAGGGTGCCAATGCCTGAGATGATGGGGCGTCCAGGATTTCCAGGTTTATGGATCTTGGGTAGCAGATAGAATACCCCAGGTCGGGGTTCCAGGGATGTGTCTGTGTGGATTTGTTCTTGTGCTTTTTCAGGGAGTTTCTTGAGCAAATGCTGTAGTTTCTTTTGGTAGCCCTCAGTGGGATCAGAGGGTAATGGCTTGTAGAAAGTGGTGTTGGAGAGCTGCCTAACAGCCTCTTGTTCATATTCAGACCTATTCATGATGACGACAGCACCTCCTTTGTCAACCTTTTTGATTATGATGTCAGAGTTGTTTCTGAGGCTGTGGATGGCATTGTGTTCTGCACGGCTGAAGTTATAGGGCAAGTGATGCTGCTTTTCCACAATTTCAGCCCATGCACATCAGCGGAAGCACTCTATGTAGAAGTCCCGTCTGTTGTTTCGACCTTCAGGAGGAGTCCACCCAGAATCCTTCTTTTTGTAGTCTTGGTAGGAAGGTCTCTGTGGGTTACTATGTTGTTCAGAGGTGTGTTAGAAATATTCCTTGAGTTGGAGACGTCGAAAATAGGATTCTAGGTCACCACAGAACTGTATCATGTTCGTGGGCCTGGAGGGGCAGAAGGAGAGGCCCCGAGATAGGACAGATTCTTCTGCTGGGCTAAGAGTATAGTTGGATAGATTAACAATATTGCTGGGTGGGTTAAGGGAACTATTGTTGTGGCCCTTTGTGGCATGTAGTAGTTTAGATAGTTTAATGTCCTTTTTCTTTTGTAGAGAAGCAAAGTGTGTGTTGTAAATGGCTTGTCTAGTTTTTGTAAAATCCAGCCATGAGGAAGTTTGTGTGAAAGGTTGGTTTTTTATGAGAGCATCCAGTTTTGAGAGCTCATTTTTAATCTTTCCCTGTTTGCTCTAGAGGATGTTGACCAGGTGGTTCTGCAGTTTCTTTGAGAGCGTGCGGCACAACCTGTCAGCATAGTCTATGTGGTATGTAGATTGTAATGGATTTTTTACCTTCAGTCCTTTTGGTATGATGTCCATCTGTTTGCATTTGGAAAGGAAGATGATGTCTGTCTGTATCTGTATGAGTTTTTTCATGAAGTTGATAGATTTCCACTCCATACGGATAAATTCAGTGCCTTGCATAATGACAGGTTTCAGAGTAGCAGCCATGTTAGTCTGTATTCGCAAAAAGAAAAGGAGTACTTGTGGCACCTTAGAGACTAACAAATTTATTTGAGCATAAGCTTTCGTGAGCTACAGCTCACTTCATTGGGTGCATTCAGTGGAAAATACAGTGGGGAGATTTATATACATAGAGAACATGAAACAACGGGTGTTACCATACACACTGTAAGGAGAGTGATCACTTAAGATGAGCTATTACCAGCAGGAGAGCGGGGGGTTCTTTCCCCCCTTTTCTCCCCCCCCACTCTCCTGCTTGTAATAGCTCATCTTAAGTGATCACTCTCCTTACAGTGTGTATGGTAGCACCCATTGTTTCATGTTCTCTATGTATATAAATCTCCCCACTGTATTTTCCACTGAATGCACCCGATGAAGTGAGCTGTAGCTCACGAAAGCTTATGCTCAAATAAATTTGTTAGTCTCTAAGGTGCCACAAGTACTCCTTTTCTTTTTGTGAATACAGACTAACATGGCTGCTACTCTGAAACCCATCTCTAGATAGGTTTACAAACCCTGTAGAATCGGATTGTCTTAGACTGCCTGCCCTGAAGGGGCCATTATGACCATCTAGTCTCACCAGCTGTGGGTAACACTGACAGGATATTTTTATCTAGTGAATCCTGAATCTTGCCCAACAGTCTGTGGCTGAACCAGAGTATGTGTTGTTTGTATGTATATGTCTTGATTTAAATATTCCAGGTGACTGAGAATCTACCATGTTGCTTGCGTTTCATTCCCATTACATCCTATAAAGGGTGAATAAGACCATATGAAAACTACTTGCTTGTTTCTGGTTTCTCTCCTACAAGATGTGACTTATATTCTGCCACACTGTGTAATAAGATAATGTGCCCAAATCCAGCTTCATTCAAAACTTTTTAAAATGTATATTTGATATTAAAAATATAGTCTTTCACATTCACTCACGTAGTTACTCTTCTGTCTCCAGGTAGTTTGGTACAAGTCTTACCAGATTGGATGTGCAGTTGCCTTTTGTCCTGAGAGCGAATACAAATACTTTTATGTTTGCCATTACTGCCCTGCGTATGTATTAACTATAGATTTAATTGATTATTGGAATTCCTTTGTTTTTTAATTAATTAAAATGACCCAGGAAACTTGAAGCTACATTGCAGATTGCATCATAATTTTTAGTGGGTTTATGGTCGGAGGGGCAATTCAGTCATAATGGTGTGCAGAAGCATATGTGCAAATTACATTCTAAAATAAAACAACTCATAAAACCCTTAATAATTTCTCAGTGAGGTCTGCTCTGCTTAAAAATCTAAGCATTCTTTTCTAACTGCTTAGTAAGCGAGAAATACGAGCATCTTCTTTTTATCCAATAACTGCAAGAAGCTTTTCCTGGGGCATGTTATCCAATAACTGCCTCCTGCACAGGAGCAGATTTACCATGAAACAAACTGTGCGGTGGCAGGGGGTCCCCCAAATGCAGGACAAATATCTTACAATCTGCCCCCGCGTCCCGCCTGGTGGTGCAGCAGGGCTCAGGCAGGCAGGCTGCCAGCATGCCATGGCCCGTGGCCCCACGCCGCTCCCGGAAACGGCCAGCTGCTGGAACTCTCTGCACGCCCCTGACGGGGGGGAGGTGGCTCCGCGCACAGCACCCACCCCAGGCAGCGCACAGAGACCCGCTGTCCCCCACCCACCCAAGGGGTGTGCAGAGACATGCCAGCAGCAACGCAGTATGGCTAAGGTGGCTCCCTGCCTGCTCTGCCTCCCTCCCTCCACACTGCTTCACTCCTGGAAGCAGCCAGCATGTCCCTGCAGCCCCTGGGGGGGGGGGAGGTGTCTCCACGCGCTGCCCCCACCCTGAGCTCTGACTCCGCAGCTCCCATTGGCCGGGAATCGCTAGGAGCTGCTGCCGGGGGGTGGGGGGGTGCTGGTCACTTTGGGAGCCATGCCACCCAAGAGAAGCACTGCCCCCCTGCCCCCTCCCACACCCCAACACCCTGCCCCATCCCAGAGCCTTCACCCAAACTTCCTCCCAGACCCCATACTCCTCCTCCCCTCCCACACCCCAATCCCCTGCCCCACCCCAGAGCCCAACCCCTCACCTCCCACACCCAAACTCTCTCCCAGAGTCTGCACCCCACACCCCCTCCTGCATCCCAACCCCCAGCCCAGAGCCTGCACTGTGCACCCCTTACCCCTTCTCACACTCCAACCCCCTGCCCCAGCCCAGAGCCCACATCCAGCACCCAAACTTCCTCCCAGAGCCGTACCCCTGCACCCCCTCCTGTACCCCAACCCTCTGCCCCAGTCAAGGTTCCTCACTTTATTTTCATTTACTTCCCATTACTTATACTATAGGAGGAGGATGAAAAAAAAGAATGAAAAGTGTGGGGGGGGAGCTAAGAGAGAATGTTATTTTTCTTGGCTGGGTCCTGAGGGGAGCCCCCCCACCCCAAAATGAAGTGCGCCCAGGGCCCCACTAACTCTAAATCCGCCACTGCCCGCAGCATTCATTGTACCTGCCTCTGAAGTAGCAGCGCTGGTCGCTGCGAGCCCTCTGATCAGGATGGCACATGAACACTTGCAAGTATTGTAAGCAATCGATCGTTAACGATAAAGCCAAGGGGTGAGAGTTTCAAAGAAATGCAGGGGGTTTGGCTATACATCTTTGATTCATATTAAGAGTTACACTTTGACATTTGAAATTGTGATTTGATACACACCAGACTAAGGGTGTGTCTACCCTGCAATGGCACCTGTGCTAGTTTTATTCTAGCTCGCTTGCAAAAGTAATAGTAAGCGTGCATCAAAACAGGCATCAGCCCAGGCTGGATAAGCCTGCCTGACCCCTCTAGGCTCACTTGAGCAGCCTGTGCCCAAGCCTGCCCCATGACGTCTTCACTGATTTGCAGCCTGGTAGAAGGATTAGAGCTTGTGAGGGGTTGTCTGCACAACCTGCTAATCACACCCATTCCTGCAATGTAAATGTCCCCTGGGTGTAAATGAAGATGTGTGTTGTAGACTGGCTTTACATTTTATGCTGTTTAATTTTACCTTTTCAGGGGGAATATCAATTCCTTAAAAACACCTTACGAATCAGGAGCCGCGTGTGGAGATTGCCCCAATGCTTGTAACGATGGACTATGCAGTAAGTTTTAGCAATTTGAAGTATTAATAAGTGACAACTTTGCCACCACAAAACAATGTTTAATTCCCTTGGCGGGAAGGCTTTGGGAAATTATCAATTCAAAAACCATGGCTCCAGAGCCAGACTGCAATGCCCTTACACACGCTCATTGCTAAAAGAAAAGGAGTACTTGTGGCACCTTAGAGACTAACCTTTTCTTTTTGCGAATACAGACTAAAACGGCTGCTACTCTGAAACAGCTCATTGCTAAGCATGCCATGTTTGAAAATGAACATGTGTCGGGGCTCGTGTAAGGGCTTCTGATGGGGGACTGGTATGTCTGGGGAATGTCATCGTGTCATCATGTCCCCCTCAAGACTGAGGGGGACATAGTCTGCAAAGATGTGCAATTTTGTTATAAAGGAGATGGCGATCAATTGTTTTGCACATCCCTCCAGGGTAGGACAAGAACTAATTGGCTTAGTTTACAGTAAGGGAGATTTAGATATCAGGAAAATCTTTCTAACTATAAGGATAGTTAAGCACAGGAACAGGCTGGAATTCCCATCATTGGAAGTTTGTTTGTTTTTAAGACTAGGCTAGATTAACTTGTCAGGGATGGCCTAGGAATATTTATTTCTGCCTCAGCATTGGAGCAGATGACCTCTCAAGGTCCATTCCGGCCCTGCATTTCTGTGATTCTGTACTGAATAGGACTTCATACCATTAGCCTGATTTATTATTTGTATTGCGATAACACTTAGGAGCCACTGTCATGGACCAGGACTCCGTTGTGCTAGGCACTACATAAATAGATAATGAATATTCCAACTGAAATCAGTGAGACAACTTGTGGAGTACGCTGCTGCTTAATATGAGCCAGGAGATCACCATTAACTCTGCCTCTTCCCCATCCCCCCCCCCCCCAAAAAAAAAGAAAGAAAGAAAAAGGAGCTTTTGAAAACATTTAAAATATTTAACACCTACAATGGCAAGAGCAAGTTCCTTCCAGGGTTTTAGATCAAATTAGTTGTCCAGTCCAAGTGGAGTAATGGCAATTTCCTACTTCTCATTCTGGGTAATAACCTTTGAGCCCCAGTGTGGAACTTTTACTCACCCTGGTGAGCTCTTACTCATGCAAGTAGCTCCGTTGGCTTCAGTGGGACTGAGTAAGTGCTCCTCCACCTGAGTGAGCATTGCACATTCTAGCCCTGGGTGTTTTATATACCAGACCCTTTGCCCGTGAGCAACAAGTTCCTTGTAAGCTTGCCGTGGTGCCTCTCTAACGACAGCAAAGCTGCCTCGTGGTGTGCGAGAACAAGCTGGCTGAATGACCGAGTCTCTAGTCTCATCCCCCTCTCTCATATGGTAGACTGTCAGGGCCTTTTGCTAACAACCAAAGCCACTTGGATTTGTACTGCTGAGTGTATAGAAAAACCTGCAGTGGATTTTGCAGTTGTAACTTCCAAGACACACATACGGACAGATGGTGGAACTCCTGGAGGCAGGCACAATAGTCCTGGGAGTAAAGGGACAGTATGGCTGCTCTCACCCTGTGAAATGATGCAGACAGCACACCCCACTGAATGTGCACAGAGGAGAATGGGGCCATTGCTCTGCCCTCCATTCAGCTCCTCTACTCATTTTGGGGTGACTAGCACCATCACACTGAGTCACTGAATTCCCGAAAGATGGAACTTACCCATGTGCAGAGGGTCATCACAAACCCGATGCCCCATTAAGGACCCACGAGTTGCTATTTTCATGGGCTAAGTTGGACTGTAATGTGGCACTGGCCTTGCACTGACCGTCAACACAGGGATGGATTTCACCCTGAGCTCAAAGTGAGATTGTGCCAAGCCCCGGGGCAAACGTGCAAGGGAAGTAGGACAGTTCCTTATGACATCTTCCTCCTGGATGACTGGGCCGATATATTGATACACTAGGTTTGCAAATCTGGATAACTCATTCCTGGGACAAAAATGCTACTGGGAAATAAAGGACAGAGAACAGATCCTGTCTTTTTAAAATGAAACCAGCCTCCAAACCTGACTTCTCCTTATTGTAATGGTATTGTAATAAGCTGTATTAAAGCAAAAAACATTGCTCCACCTAATAAAATGCCTTGAATTAAGTAAACAATATTTCTGTGGCCACTTAGACTTTTAGAACCTTACTGGGGAATAAGTAAAACTGTGCTGAAAAAAATACAGTGAAAAATGTTTATTTTGTCAAAATATGCTTTAACAAGAGGAAAAACAGCCTACACTGTTTCCTTTAATATCTAATCTCATGATGTGTTTCATTTTCAGCCAATCCTTGTACGTATGTGGACACATACTCAAACTGTCCTGATTTAGCAAAGAACTATGGATGTGAACACTCCATGATCAAGAAATACTGTCTTGCCGCCTGCCATTGCGCCACTGAAATAAAATAACAGCCTCGGATTCCGCCCTTCATGGAAATTCTTCTTTTTAATGAGAGCACCTTTTAGAAAATCAGGGTCCCATCTTGCAGCCCTCATGTGTGTAGTCCTAGTGACTTCAATAGGGCTACTCATCTGAGTGTAGGATCTATCCATTCAATTTAGGTTCTTATCCTACTTTAATTCTTTGTTTTAAAATGTTGTAGATTTTTCTTCTTTGCTTGAAATTCAGCATCTGACATGCTAGACTTATATCATATTCCATGACTGAGATTTCTTCTCCATCAATAGCAACTACACTCTCTACAAAATACTATTTAAAGTACTATCTATCTAAAGATCAGTTCCTGCCAAGATATACATGTATAGTCCTTATTCTGTAAGTAATCCCATTGATACAATGGGCCAGACATAGAATCATAGAATATCAGGGTTGGAAGGGACCTCAGGAGGTCATCTAGTCCAACCCCCTGCTCAAAAGCAGGACCCATCCCCACTTAAATCATCCCAGCCAGGGCTTTGTCAAGCCTGACCTTAAAAACTTCTAAGGAAGGAGATTCCACCACCTCCCTAGGCAACGCATTCCAGTGTTTCACCACCCTCCTAGTGAAAAAGTTTTTCCTAATATCCAACCTAAACCTCCCCCACTGCAACTTGAGACCATTACTCCTTGTCCTGTCCTCTTCCACCACTGAGAATACATCTCCATCTTCATTCATGTGGAGAGTCACCTTACTGCACAAGCATTCCTGCTAGTTGCAACAGGAATACAAGGGTTGTAAGGTCTTAATCAATGGGAGTAAGGGTAGCAGAACTGTTCCCACTAAAAGTACTGAGGGCTGGATTCTGCCACACTTGATCACATGGAGTAGTACCTTACTCTGCAAATAAACCTGTGGACTGCATTGCAAGGAGGACATCAGAATTTGGTTCATTTAGATTAATTGGACTACTCCTAGTATAAGATACTACCCAGCATGAATAAGAGTGCCAAAATCTGACCCTCAGTGAAAAAGGGCTGTTGGAACAATGGCATCAATAAGTCTATTCTTGAAAGTAATTACCACACAAGGAAGGAAGGATTATGAGATAGGGAAATGTTCTTCTAATAACAAATAGAGAGCTGTCACCTGAGTTACTTTTAAATTGTCATTTCTGTATTACTCATTACATTACTCGTTCGATATTGCACAATTTGTTTTGGCTTTTATTACTTTTGCTTCATGTAAAATACTGTTTCACCAGGTTCCCTGGAGTGTAAGTCTTTATCACAATTCTTTGTCCGTATAGCCTTGGTGCTGCAATCAGTGTTTGACTGATATTCCTGGAAACACTGCAGAAGATCTGTAACACACAGTTATATTTTGAAGAGGTGAAGTTTCTCGGGTAGAAAAAGTCAAAGAATGTAGACATCAGAGAAGCAATTCTAGTCCAAGTAACAACAAATAGACAAAAAGTTCTGCGGCTCACAAAGGGCCAAGTCGAATGAGTAAAGACTATTCATGTAAGGAGGTGGAATTTCACTAAGAATGAATTTGCCCTTCTCTCTCCTTCTTACATTCAGTCTGGCATCCGGTTTCCTCCCACCTCACTATCACAGAGAGGGAGTGTTATAGATAATACACAACAACTGTCTCTGAGCTTTGGGAAAGAGCTGTTGCATTGGGCATTCAGCAGAGAGTGGATAACAATGAACCCACAGTTCCCATAGCATCCCTTTAGTTCTCCATAACACGACTTCTCCTTTAGGCACTCTGCCATGCAGGGCACCTCTATAGCTTTAAAGGCCCTGATTCAACAGAGTACTTAGGCAGACGTTGAACTTTAAGTGCAAGCTTATGTAAGCAAATGCTTGCAGTTGAGCACATGATTAAGTGTTTTGCTGAATCAGGGCCAAAAGCATGAGTAGTGAATAAACCATTCATTCATTTTACACCTGCCAAAAAAAGTATTACATATGGATATGAAGAACATCCAAAGTTACAATTAATACAGTTTAGAAGGGATATTAAACCTTGTGCTTCAGGGATAAGCTAAATTCCAACTATGAGAGACAAGAATGAGAGCTAATGTGGGAAAAAGGGGATTGCAGGGTTCTTACACCTTCCTCTGGATTAGCTGGTACTGGGCACTCTCGGAGACAGGATACTGAATTAGATGGACCCCTGGTCTGGTCCAGTTTGGCACTCCCTAGGTTACCCATTGCACAAGTGATACCATATATGGAATGTGACTTCCTCTCTAAAACCTTATGCTGGCTTGTTGGCTCCTGTCTCAAAATACAGTTGTCGTCAGATGTTGGCTGCATGTGTGTGTGTTTTCTCTGCGTGCTGTCCTGGCTCTGCACAGATAGTTGGCACAGCAGACCTTGATCGATCCGCCTGTTACCCGCACAAAATTCTCTTGTAATTCACACATTCAAGGGCACCCACCTTTACCCAGTTCCTAGGGCTCAAGGCGTAACCCTCTTCATTTAGGCACCATCACCCTTTCCCAGTTCATAGGGCTCCGGGCAAAAAGCACCTAACTTTACCCCTCCATGGGCTCTGGGCTCTACTCCTCTGTGGCCTCCGGGCAAACACCCTTTCCCTGTGGACTCAGGACTTAATCTTTTGCAGGTTTACGGGGTCTTTTACCAGTGAAAGAGCCTTACACAGTAATATACTACATAACCTCTATTTATTAACAATCACCAAAAACAGAATGCACACTCTACACATTCAGTGCTCTCCACTCCCAATAAGACAGATGAACTTTTCTTGATGGCCAGTCAGGATCAGGTCCATCTGGGGGACTCCAGTTTCTGCACGGTGTCATTGGCAGAGTGTTGCGGTCTGGCAGCTCTGATCTTTGGGGCTGTGTACTGGAGCTGGTTACCAAAGAACTTCCTTTTGAACCCCAGTTTATATAGTGAAATTTGAGTTCTGCTTTGCTATACCTTAACCAATCATTATACTGAAACCTATCTAACCAATCCTAACATAGTGTAACAAAATTCTTTAACCGATTATATCCCACTACTCTAATTAACTTACACCTAGCAAAATTAATTATACAGCAGACAGACACAATTAAAGAACCAGACAGAGACCATACAGGTAAACAATAGGGAAGTGGGGACCATAATGACAAAACAATAAAGAAACGAGGATTTCACAACCACAACTATTGATACATGATTTCTTGACAGACAGCATGCTATCAAACTAAGTTTTCTTTAAACATCTTAAGAGCTATTTCTTTATCTGGTGATAGTGGGTGCCATTAGGATGAGGTCTCCTTCTTAACAGCCTGATATATATTGTTTTACTGTAATTTAGATGGAATGTGAGGATATGACTTCCTGCTTCCTAGCTAATGGCTGCTGCTTGGCTGCTCTTTTAATCTGGCTGCAGATGAAGGCCTTAGGCCTTACAATATGGCCGCAGACAAAGGCCTTATTCTTACACGCCCAATAAAACCACAGACCCAATTTAGTAGCGAAGGCAACCAGCCAGGTTTATTGTTAACGAAGCAAGGACCTAGTATCCCTTAGTCTCTACAGGACCACTAACATATGTATGCCTGTCACAATGGACCAGCTCAGTCAGTGGTGGGACTTTCCACTGCCTCCTAGCCTGGCCAAAGACACTTCCCGAGACTCCATTTTATACACCAATACAAACAAGTTATGTATTGCCCCTCTTACATGGGTAGTTACCACCCTCTACTATGTACATGTGGGTTCAAGCAAAACATCTCTATCCATCACACCGTCCTCCTAACCTTATCTTTAGGTCAGCATGTTCCTGTTATCTTTGGGGAATGTGTCTGCACCATACTTGGTATCAGGGTGTTCTGGTACCACTCTTCTGGAATGTGTTTGCATGAGTGTCCTATGCCTAGTACTGTGTGTGTTTTTGCAATACCAGCCCTGTTCTTGCCAGGCTCTGTGAGCTTGCAAGCCGGCATGTTTTATAGCAGGGCCTGCCTTCTGCTTACAGCCTGACTTTTGCTAACTTCACTTTATATCAGCAAAGCTTGACCACTACTTTAGTTCGGGCCTTAGGCCTCACACTGGGCTTCTCATACACAGGGGCAGTGAGTTTTATGGGTCTATTGTGCCTGGGCTCCAGCAAATTCAGGGCCCCAGGGGCACAGCTCCACCAATGTTCGGGGTCTCTCCCCGGGACCCACCTGCCACTCCCCCGTGCGCCTCCCCCAAGCGTCCCTGCCGGCCCTGGGATGGCTGCCCCTGCAGCTCCGCACTGTGCTCCCTCACCAGCCGCTGCCAGCTACAAGGGAGCAGTGCCCAGGGCAGGCTGAGGCGGCTACCAGGGCCGGCCTTTGACCAGGTGATAAGGGCAGTTGCCCAGGGTGATGTGCTGATGGGGGCGCATTTGATACATCCCACATGATCTTACCTGCAGTCAGCCAGCTGGGCTTAAGGACGGGAAGTGCTCCTGCCAGCCTAGCCAGGGTCAGGGTGGGAGAGAAAAAAAATCACACATCCAAGCTGTAGCTTGAGGTACTCACTCTCAGGTAACTCCTCTGGTGGGAGCAGCAGCAGGGACGGGTGCCCGGGGGGATGCTCCCCACTCTCCCAGGACAGAGGGCCCCCTGTAGAAACCATGGGGAGTGGGGGGGGGCAGGCTGGGCTCAGTCCCGACCTGATGTCTGGGATGGGCGGCTGAGGTTGGTGCAGGGTGGGGGGGAGGGCGGGGGTTGAAAGAGGAGTATGTGTGCAGCTTGTCTCTGTGTGCTCCGGTTGACTGGGGGCTTGGAGCAGCCCTGTGATCTGGTTGTGTGATATTGTAGCGCAGGTTTGGGTCCATCCCCACTTAGAATCATAGAATCATAGAATATCAGGGTTGGAAGGGACCTCAGGAGGTCATCTAGTCCAACCCCCTGCTCAAAGCAGGACCAATCCCCAACTAAATCATCCCAGCCAGGGCTTTGTCAAGCCTGACCTTAAAAACTTCTAAGGAAGGAGATTCCACCACCTCCCTAGGTAACGCATTCCAGTGTTTCACCACCCTCCTAGTGAAAAAGTTTTTCCTAATATCCAACCTAAACCTCCCCCACTGCAACTTGAGACCATTACTCCTTGTCCTGTCCTCTTCTACCACTGAGAATAGTCTAGAACCATCCTCTTTGGAACCACCTCTCAGGTAGTTGAAAGCAGCTATCAAATCCCCCCTCATTCTTCTCTTCTGCAGACTAAACAATCCCAGTTCAGCCTCTCCTCATAAGTCATGTGTTCCAGTCCCCTAATCATTTTTGTTGCCCTCCGCTGGACTCTTTCCAATTTTTCCACATCCTTCTTGTAGTGTGGGGCCCAAAACTGGACATAGTACTCCAGATGAGGCCTCACCACTGTCGAATAGAGGGGAATGATCACGTCCCTCGATCTGCTGGCAATGCCCCTACATATACATCCCAAAATGCCATTGGCCTTCTTGGCAACAAGGGCACACCGTTGACTCATATCCAGCTTCTCGTCCACTGTAACCCCTAGGTCCTTTTCTGCAGAACTGCTGCCTAGCCATTCGGTCCCTAGTCTGTAGCGGTGCATGGGATTCTTCCGTCCTAAGTGCAGGACTCTGGACTTGTCCTTGTTGAACCTCATCAGATTTCTTTTGGCCCAATCCTCTAATTTGTCTAGGGCCCTCTGTATCCTATCCCTACCCTCCAGAGTATCTACCTCTTCTCCCAGTTTAGTGTCATCTTCTCTTCCCCTTCCCCACTAAGAGCCCCACTTGCCCAGGAAAGGGCTTACTCATTCCTCTGGCACTGCTGGTAGGACTGGAGTGCACATTTAGCTCCACACAGTGAGCATCATGCTAACCAGGGGCGCTGCTGCAGCCTGCCTGCTCCAATCCCATCCCTTCCCTGTGACCCACAGGGGGGCATGAACTGGGTCACGTTACCCCTCCTCTCCAGTTTTCTGCTAGGGTTTGCCTGCCGAGCTCTCCCGCTCCCTCCCCTGCTTGCTGGAAGCAGCCTGGGACCAGGACGGGAGAGGTAAACAAACAGCAGGTGAACCAAATAGCTGGGAGCCTGGGAGCACTCGGGAGGAAGGGCTGATGCTTCAGCTCTGCAGGGAGAGGTTAGGTAGGGGAGGAAGGAAGGAAGGAACAGCTGCTTCCCCATAGGGGAACTGAGGGCAAGGGGGAGAGCTGGGCTGCCTTGGGGGGGGGGTATGACACTCGAGTTGTTGGGGGGGTGAACCTTTAAATTGTGCCCCCCATCAGCAGCTGAAGGTCCTGTCCTCCCTGTTCCCCTGGCTCAGAAGCTTCACTCACTTGGTCCCGGAGGGGGGGCGGGGGGCTGCTGTCTCCCCAGAGTCAGGCAGGCGGGTGCATAGGAGATAAATGAGTGTGACTGAGATCAGCTCCCCCATGTGCCTCCTTCCCCCTCCCTCCCCATCTGAGCAAGAATGGGAATGGGAGTCTCAGTGGGTGGTAAAAAGAAAAGGAGTACTTGTGGCACCTTAGAGACTAACCAATTTATTTGAGCATGAGCTTTCGTGAGCTACAGCTCACTTCATCAGATGTTTACCGTGGAAACTGCAGCAGACTTTATATACACACAGAGAATATGAAACAATACCTCCTCCCACCCCACTGTCCTGCTGGTAATAGCTTATCTAAAATGATCAACAGGTGGGCCATTTCCAGCACAAATCCAGGTTTTCTCACCCTCCACCCCCTCACACAAATTCACTCTCCTGCTGGTGCTAGCCCATCCAAAGTGACAACTCTTTACATAATCAAGTCGGGCTATTTCCTGCATAGATCAAGGTTTTCTCACATCCCCCCCACCCCCATACACACACAAACTCACTCTCCTGCTGGTAATAGCTCATCTAAACTGACCACTCTCAAGTTTAAATCCAAGTTAAACCAGAACATCTGGGGGGGGGGGGTAGGAAAAAACAAGAGGAAACAGGCTACCTTGCATAATGACTTAGCCACTCCCAGTCTCTATTTAAGCCTAAATTAATAGTATCCAATTTGCAAATGAATTCCAATTCAGCAGTTTCTCGCTGGAGTCTGGATTTGAACTTTTTTTGTTTTAAGATAGCGACCTTCATGTCTGTGATTGCGTGACCAGAGAGATTGAAGTGTTCTCCGACTGGTTTATGAATGTTATAATTCTTGACATCTGATTTGTGTCCATTTATTCTTTTACGTAGAGACTGTCCAGTTTGACCAATGTACATGGCAGAGGGGCATTGCTGGCACATGATGGCATATATCACATTGGTGGATGTGCAGGTGAACGAGCCTCTGATAGTGTGGCTGATGTTATTA